AGGCATGGTGGTTCACCTGTAATCCCAGTACTTTGGGAGGTGGAGGCGAGAGGATTGCCTGAGCCCAGGTGTTCAAGACCCACCTAGGCAATGTGTCGAGACTTCATCTCTACAAAAAAAAAAAAAAAATTAGCTGAGCATGGTGGTGTGCACCTATAGTTCCACCTACTTGGGAAGCTGAAGTGGAAGGATCACCTGAGCCCAGAAGGTCGAGGCTGCAGTAGCCGTGATTGTTCCACTGCACTCCAGCCTGGGCAACAGAGTGAGACTCTGACTCAAATAAATAAAAAAAGAAAAAGCATACCCTAACTCTGTCCACTCTTCTCTAATTTGACTATTATAACTTCCCTTAAAGCTGCCATCTTCTCCGAACTACTGCAATGGCTTCCTCACTGGACTCCGCTTTCACTCTTGCCTCCAAGCAATCTACTCTCCACATCACAGACACAGTCATTTTTAAAATGTAAATCACATAGTAAGCTCACTTGCTGGTAGTGACTTCACACTGCATGGAGAAGACAGTTCAAGCCCTTGGGCTTCGTACCAAGTCTTGTGTGGTCTGGTCCCATCTCACTGGTTTGACTGCGCCCAGCCACACTGTCCTTTCGGTTTCTCAGGCCTTGACCGCACTGTTTCTTCTGCCCGGTGTGTGATTCTCCCAAACCTAGCATGGTTGCTCCTTCTCATTGCTCAGTTCTTAGCTCAAAGGTCATGTTCTCAAAGGGGCCTCCTCAGTCTGAGACTGGAGGCCTTCCCAGGCTGAAGGGGGCTTCCTAGCCACTGGCACCCGCCATCTCATTTTGTATTCTTCACGGTTCATTCTATGGGATGCCATCCGGTTCATCTTCCTTCCTCCAGCTAGAACGTCGTCTTGTTCAACGCAGTTTCCCCAGCGCCTAGAACAGTGCCAGGCCCATAATGGGTACTCCATAAATACGTGTTAGAAGAACGAATGGCAGATTCTGGGACAGTGAATGAGCAGCTAGAGGGTGTGGAGTTGAGGCGGGAAGACCATGAGGTTATTGATAAAATACTGGCTCAGGGCCAAGCGTGGGGCTCACGCCTAAATCCTAGCACTTTGGGAGACCAAGGTGAAATAATCACTTGAGTCCAGGAGTTCAAGACCAGCCTAGGCAACGTAACAAGACTGTCTCTACTAAAAAAATAAATCAGCTGGGTATGGTGCATATGCCTGTAGTCCAAGCTACTACAGAGACCGAGGAAGGAGGATAGATAGCTTGAGCCTTGGAGTTTAAGGCTGCAGTGAGCTAGGATGACACCCCCGCACTCCCGCCTGGGCAACAGACCAAGACTGCTTCCAAAACAAAATAAAAAACAAAGGCATATCGTGAGGTTAGAGTTGAATATAGAAGTATATCTGGCAGCAAAGGACAAAAGACGAGGAGAAAAGAGAGAGAGCAGGATTGGACTAAGAGGTCAAAGGTCTTGTTCAGTGACAGTGAGGGAATGAGAGACGTGGACTGCTAAAGGCAGCTGTAGGTAGAATGCTAGAGCCTGAGGGTTTCTTATGTGGTATGGTTTCGGGTGACGACAAGGTTCAGGGTCTGGTGGTTCACCACTGGGTGGTTAGCAGAGATAAAGCATAGGCAAAGGACACAGGACGTGTGCTGGGCATGTCAAGGAACTCTAGGGCTAAGGCGTTCGTCCTCACAGACCCTTAAGTCAGATCAAGTGATAGCAGGGCGTGAGAAGGAAACCAAATCCTAGAGCCAAGAGCTTTGGATTCATATTATTAGGAATGACCAACCACCAGGACACAGAGAAGCAGAAAAGCAACGGGTTGGTCCGAGCTTCCCAGGAGCTACTTTACGCATCGGGCGAGAGGAGACGATGGCTGGAAAGTGAATGAATGAAGTTAAGGAAGTCAATGCCAACTCAACCTGAGCCCTGTGGAGCGCTGAGAGGAGAGCCCTCCACTAGAGGCAGCTGCTGGTGGGACAAGTTTCCGGACCGGCCTGGAGGTGAAGGAAGGCCTTCGAGAAAGGCTGAGGACGCTGGGGGCTTCATCTGCTCCCTGGAAGCTTTCGGCGGGAGGGCAGGCAGCAGGAGACGCGAGGGAGTCGAGAACAGGTGAGGAGTCGGATGGCCAGAGAAGCAGACAGCCTAGGTGGTGTCCAGCGATGATCAGCCGCCAAGCTTGGTGGGACCAACTGAACTCCAGGCTCGGAGAGAAATGCTGGGGCAGGTTCGGAAAACAGTCAGGGTGGGCTTGGCTGCAGGACGGGGGCTGAAGCCCCTGAAGACAGCAGGCAGGCAGAGACAGCACGCGTGGAGCTCGGGGGAGGGTTTGCAGTGGCCGCTCCTGGTTTGGAGCGGGAAAAGGGCACTGTTTTGATAACGGGGTCCTGGAGGGCCTCTGAGAGTCGTGATATTTGAGGAGATCCCAATGGGAGGGAGGCCGCAAAAGATGGTGCAGCTGCCTTGTTGAGAGAAGAAGGGGAGTGTGATTTTGTTTTGGAGACTCAGCACTGTCTTGGCGCCATGGTGCCTCCACGGGGAAGTAAGCGCCCGGAGCCAGGAATTCAGTAACTTGATTTAGCCAACATGATTCAGATTTCCAAAGACTGATCAGCCTCTAGAATGGCTAAGTTCAAGTTTCTGGACTTGCAGGGCTCAAAGCCAGATTCCAGGCTTTATTTTACTTTAGCTGTTAAAGTGGTATATTGTAGTCACAGAATTCCTCGTGTTGGGTTATTAAGTTCCTGAGCTACAAAATGCAAATACGTATGTACATGTATATATACAGCTGACCCTTGAACAACACGGGTTTGAACTGTGTGGCTCCATTTCCACCCAGAATTTCTTGTGCCTGGGCCACCCCTGGGACAGCAAGGCCGACTCCTCCTCTGCCCCTCCTCCTCAGGCTGCTCACTGTGAACCCGGCTGGGATGAAGACCTTTTTGATGATCCACTTCCACTTAGTGAACAGCAAATATATTTTCTCTTCCTTACTATTTTCCTAACAACACTTTCTTTTCTCTGGCTTACTTTATTGTAAGAACACCACATATAACACATATAAGCATATACAATATGTGTTAATTGACTGTATATGTTATTGGTAAGGCTTTTGGTCAACAGGGGGCTATTAATAGTTAAATTCGAGGGGAGTCAAAAGCTATATATGAATTTTCGAAGGTGTGGGGCTTGATGTCCCAACCCCTACATTGTTCAAGGATCAACTGTATATATAATTTCTTTGCGCATGGGACAATACATGGGGGAATATATTTTAAAATGTGTCCATATTTCGCAGTAGAATTTGGAATGATTCTGGCTTTTCTCATTTGTATTCATTTGGAATAACTTCAAAATAAAGGGAAGCATTTTAAACGGAAATGTTAGTGACAACGAATAGTAGCAAGGAACATCTTCTGTGGTAAATCAAAGAATTCAAAAATTCTAATTGGCTCTTAGAGACTCAAATGGTGCAACCAAAACTGACAAAGAAATTTCTCAGTCTAGATGACCTGAATTTCCCACAGTATCTATTTCTGACCTAGTATCTCAAAAGTTAAAGCCATGAATGTCTTCACTATTTTGTAGTATAGGCAAATTCCGTTTTTATCTATGGCCACTAGCCTGGAAGGATATTTCTATAATGTTTTAACATGTTAAATATTCTGTGGTTAATTATGAGCACCATGTTCAGGAAAGAAATCTGAACTGTTCCCTTTCCCTGCCTCTCAGTAAAGTGAACTCTCAACGCTAGAACTATATGTACCAGAAGAGACAAAGTATGCCATGAAAGGCACTCAATGGAGAAGTTGCTACCAATTTTTTTTTTTGCCATATCTGCTTACCATCTGAACAGAAATGTAATGAATAATTCAATATAGAAGCAATTCCAGTAGAATAACCCTAGTTTGTGTTAGCATAAAAGAAGAAATTATTGGAAAGATTAAGAATTTCTCTAGATGGCCGGGCGTGGTGGCTCAAGCCTGTAATCCCAGTACTTTGGGAGGCCAAGGCAAAAGGATTGCCTGAGCTCAGGAGTTCGAGACCAGTCCGGGCAACTTGGTGAGACCTCGTCTCTACAATAAATCAAAAAATAAACTGGGCGTGGTAGCGTGCACCTGTAGTTCCAGCTACTTGGAAGGCCGAGGCGGAAGGATTGCCTGAGTCCAGGAGGTCGAGTCTGCGGTGGCCGTGAGCATAACACTGCATTCCAGCCAGGGCAACCGTGTGAGACGCCCAATTAAAAAAAAAAAAAAAAGAATTTATCTAGCTTATGGGAGGGTCCTTCAAAGGACACGTGTAAAAGGCTCAAGTAAAAAGAGGCTAGTTCTTTTTTGTAGCTGAACCCAGTTGCATGAATCTGGAAGGGCTTTGGAGAGAAGCTATTAGCCAGGGGACGGAGAAGGGGCAGGGAGGCAAAAATATACTGATTCTGTTTTTCACATAAATGTAAAACTGATGCCAACAGTCTTAAATGCTAACAGGCCGGATACTATTAAAATATAAAGATAGGGATATATTAAAATATATAAACAACTTCAACTGTATAAAGTAATCCATTAGCAACGAAATCTTTTTTTTTTTTTTTTTTGAGTCGGAGTCTCACTCTGTCGCCCAGACTGGAGTGCA